GGGTTGTTAACCAATGTCATAAAACAGCATGTGTGTTACTGTTACATGAGAAACTATCTGTTCTGTAAGCCTTCACCTGAAGTACAATAAAATATTAAAAAAAAAAAAAAAATTGTGGTAAAATATATATAACATAAAATTTGCCATTTTAACCGTTTTTAGGTGTATAATTCATTAATTACATTCGCCATCTTGTGCAACCATCACCACTATCTATTTCTAAAACTTTTTACCACCCAGTATCCATTAAGCAGTAAGTCCCCATTACTCCTTCTCCCAGTCCCTGGTAAACACTAATCTACTTTTGTCTCTATGAAGATTAGAATATACCTAAGATATTTCTTAGGATATACATTTCTTAGGATCGTACATTTTTTGTCCTTTTGTGTCTGACTTCTTTTACTCAGCATGTTTTCAAGGTTCATTGATGTTGCAACCTGTCTAAGAACCTGTTTTCTCTTTAGGGCTGAATAATACTCCATTGTTTATATACAGACCACACTTTGTTTATCCATGCATTTCTGGCTATTATGAATAATGCTGAAATGAACATTGGTATACAGGTATCTGAGTCTCTGCTTTAAATTCTTTTGAGTATATACCTAGGGGTAGAATTGCTGGGTCGCGTGGTAACTATGTTTAAGAACTGCCACATTGTTTTCCACAGTGGCTGCACCATTTTACATTCCCACCAACATTGGATGAGGGGTCTAATTTCTCCACACCCTGACTAACTTATTATATTCGAATTTTTCTGATAATAGGCATCCTAGTGGGTGTGAAGTGGTATCTCACTGTAGTTTTGATTTGCAGTTCCCTAATAACTAATGAGGGAGTCCTGTGGCACAGTGGTTAAGTGCTTGGCTGCTAACTGAAAGGTCAGTGGTTCGAACCCACCAGCTGCTCCATGGGAGAAAGATGTAGCAGTCTGCTTCTGTAAAGCTATACACCCTTGGAAACATTATGGGGCAGTTCTACTCTGTCCTACAGGATCGCTGTGAGTCGGAATTGACTGGATGGCAATGGGTTTGGTTTTTTTTTTGGTTAATGACTAATGACGTTGAACATCTTTTCATGTGGTTATTGACCATTTGTATATCCTCTTTCGAGAAATGTCTATTCAAGTCCTTTGTGTATTTTTAGACTGCGTTGTTTGCCTTTTTGTTGTAGGATGATTAACTTATTTTGAAAAGTTAGAAATAAAATAGCTCAACTGTAGGTTCTCTTGAGCACTGAAGATGTAGGTTTCCTCCAAGTTAGTTATTAAACTTAAAACTTGGTGCCTGCTTGGCACAAAGTACTGAAAATGGACATATTTGATATGACAGAACCTTGTACTTTTTTTCTTACCACATAATTTCCCAAACTCTTTGAGCTTAAAGAAACACCGTAATTTTTCAACACTACAAGGCAAGAATGCGACTTCTAAAAAGTATAAGAATACAAATGATATGCAATTGTATTGTTTATATTCAATTTATTAAACTGTACCCTTCATAATTACATTACCTCAAATCTTCCCTTAAAAACCCATTCTATGGTTGCTAAGAAAAGAATTAACCCCTAAACGGCCGAGACTCAATGACAAGCAGGGCAGTCCTGCCCAGCAGAGAACAAGCCGCGCCTCATTACATCACTCACAAGAAGCAAGAGAATTCAAAGTGAGGCAGAGGCAAAAGGGAGGAAAAGCAGCTCCAGAGTTTCCAGTTCTAAGAAAGAAATGTTTGATATATGTATATGACTATGTAAAGATTTCTATATGCATTTATTTAATCATCGTTATGAATTACCACTTACCAAAATCAATAACTCACTTAGCACTTACTATGAATCAAGCACTAAGTGACTTATTTATATCAATTCACTTTAATGTTCATAAATATCTACATATATGGACGCATTTTTATATCCACAATACCCCTCTGACTTGGGAATTATAATTATGCCAATTTTACAGATGAGAAAGCTGAGGTATAGAGAGGTGATATATTTAGCTGAGCTCATACACATAATAAGAGGTAGTGTTGGGATTCTGAACCCAAACAGTCTAGCCCCAGAGTCTATGCTAGGAGAGCAGTTCTCATACAGTTTAGTATCAGGACCCAAACTCTCCAAATATTGATACATTTCACTAAAAAAATGGAAAAATCACATTTATTAAAATCACCATCAATCTCATCAGAAAAGTCTTTGAGTACTGAGAAGCTGTCAAGTTTGTGGCGATGGATACAAGTTTTCCAAAGTTCTAATTTTTGGTTCAAAGTTTGAATTTTATTATTGGCAGCAAATACTATCAATCGAAATGACAGGCTCTCTTTGTTCCTTTTTGAGAAAATATTTGCCAAATACTCGTGTGAATATCCATGATATGTCTGTCAGGCATTTTTTTTTTAAGTAGAGATGGTGCTCCATATAAAACAACTGCTGGTTCAGCTTGCAACTCCAACAACTGCAGAAGTGCTGTTCCTTGACATAGCCATCTTACCTGGGTTCAGAAGAAATGCTTTACGTGTACCTCCTATTTCATCACACAGAATATTAAAAATATATGCATCCAAGGCATAAGATTTAATAAAGTTAAGTATTCTTTACTGCTTCATTAAGGACATTCTTAAGTGAAACTGAAATTTATTTTTCTACTATAAGTATGAGTATTTTTCTATTATGGTGGTGAGGAATACAACCACCACTAATAAGGTTTGGTGCCACCACCTTGATTTAGGCTAAGGAACCACAGGTTTTACCTACAGTTGCTTTTGCACCATCAATGCAAATGTCAATGCAGTGAGAAAGGCAAATAGCTTCTTAGAATTATTATGAATATAGATCTGACCTCAGAGACTCCTGAGAAAGTCTCACGGACCCCTAGAATTTACAGACCACACTTTGACCATAGTGTCTATTTCTTTTGCATAGAAAGAATTATAGATTATTTCATTACATATATGCCTTATTGTTTTTAATTAACAGCTTTACTGAGGTATAACTTACATTTCATAGAATTCTCCCATTATAAATCTACAATTTAATGATTTGAGTAAATTTATAGAGTTGTTTAACCATCACTACAAGGCAGTTTTAGAACAGTACCATCACTTCAAAAAGTTTCCTCATACCCGTTTGCAGTTAATCCCTGCTCCCATCTCAGGCCCAGGCAACACCAATCTGCCTTCT